GCACAAATGCCAGCTGGTGCAACCACTATATTCTGTCTCACAAGAGCAGGTGAGGGAGTAAATAGACATAGAGGTGGTCTGGACTGACAGTTTGTCCTTGCCCTCTCCGGGTGGGATGGGACTAGTGGAGAAACGTACACAGGCGTCAACTGCTGGAAGGGTGCGTGATACAGCCTGAGTTTGGCGTCTTCTTAAGACTTCATTTAGCGTGTTCTCTTGAAATGGGGCCCTCATGAAAAACTTATTCTTCTCTGCCGTCAGCGTCGGGGGGCTTTGTTGGTCGGTCGGTCATGTACTTAGCAGTGGATTGATCAGGATACCTCTTCTGGCGAAAGAGACTTTGGACAATCTTAAGCCCTCTCCGAGCAGATCCTTCTCACCCTTTGTGTCAAACAACGGACCACATTACGTTCCAAGTTTAAGCGATACGAAACTCCCAAAATGGGTGTGTTGCTTGGTTCATGTCTTGTTACGATAGACGCTACGTCAGCCACTGCCGCCCACTGCGGAGCCCATAGCTACTCCGCCCATCTGCTTATATAAATTGCTGTCGAACAGGAACTGCACGTTCAAGGTACACCTGAATCACAGTTCATCTTCTCAGCTGCTGATTCGTATATCTGCTGCGATACTCGTTCTAAATATGAACTTGTCCTATCGCAAAAGCTTGCCTTGGCGAAGAACCTCGGTCTCCAGAAATGTTCCCTGTGGACATTCACCGGCATTCTTATATCCTGCTGACTGGAGGTCATGAAGTTGCAGAGGTAGGTGACGGTTTCCGTGGCCGGTACGTTCATAAATAGAGACGAGACGTCCAGCGAAAACCTAACCATTCCATTTAAGTGGAGGTTTTTCACACCGTTAGCGAATTTAAAGGTACCCGATAGTTAGGCGGCGTTAGCTGATACTGCGGGGGCTTGAATTCCTCCTCCAAGCACTTTGTTATCGCATGGTACAGCAACGTCCTTCACACAATTTCCGGAAGAACAGCTGGATGAGAGCCGAGGGGTGCGTATTTCCATAATGCGGTTGGTGCTGGTCTGCCGTGCGGTACCCATGAACTACTACTTTGCTCCTAATAAATTTAAACCTAAAAGTGCGTCGAATTTGTAAGCTTTAACTGTACTTGCTTTTTACAATCAGGCCACAGAAAGAGAGCACAAGTTTCAGGCAGATTTAAACGGTGGGTCCTTAGTTTGGTATTCGAGCCGTTGGATTTACAATGAGCTGAATCCAAATCATCCCTGTTTTAGGCTTGACTATGGCTAGTTGAATAACGCAAAGGATCGTCAAGTGTTTTCCGTCGATACTAACTGCGTTTTGTTGGTACTGATTCTCAGTTGGCGATTCACGTATCTGCCACGATACCCGTTCTAAATATAAACTTGTCCTACCGCAAAAGCTTGTTTTGGCGAAGAACCTCGGTCTCTAGAAATGCTCCCTGTACCTGGCCGTAACAGTTACACAGTCACTGTAGCGAGTTATTTGTAAATGTGCGTAAGAAGCAGTGTTTTGCGTTGGTTGTTTGCTAAATACCCTAAAGTTGTAACCACGAAGTTCGCATTTGATCGTTGCGAATGTAATGCGGCGGATGTGGGAATTTTTCGCTAGCGTGGCTAATTCTGAAACTGATCTGATCGATGGGGTAATTTCGTTGAAACAAAATCTATGAATTTGCGTTGTCGCTGCCCCCTGATCGATAGAGTGCATTCGTGTTATTGACGAACACTTAGATGAACGTTGACACCAAACTGTCCATCGATCGCCTGTAAGGGGCCGATTACGCACTTAATGTAGCAAGTGCGCAGCTGCGACAACCTCAACGCACCCCATTGGTGGAGCCCTCCGGGGCGCTGGTTTTGCGCAGCGTAGAGGTTAGAGGAACGATCTATTCGTCTCAATGATTACCTATCAAGCTTACACACATATCAATAATCAAACTGCCAGAGTTCAGGTTTCGTTTATAAGGGATGATGACGCATACACACAGCGGCCAGCTAGGTTCCTAATGGGATCAAGAATTCGGGACCTGCATAAAAGGACTGGGGGGGGGGGGAGAGGGGAGGACCGCACAGTGAGATCGGTAGATGTCGGGTAGATGTAGGCAAGGGCTGTTGACTTTTAAACAGGGATAATGAATTCGGATGGAAAATTGATGTTACAGCAGTGCAAACACGTTCATTACTGGATGTCAACGGGCGAGGGATAATCGCCTTCATACGCGATGTGAATACCAGGAGGCGAAGCAAAATCTTCCGTACGGTTCATGTATAGCCGTTGCTGAAATCATGCAACGTGAATACGGATTCTGTGGCTGGGGTCGTTTCTCTCTCTCGAGTAAAACAATAAGCAATGGATCAGCATAATTCATAATAGTATTTCCTTTTACTTTAGTTACTGAAGCTTGCTAGCTCCAGTTCTCTGACTACAAGTAAGTGGAGTTGAACATTGCCAGGACCCTGTGTGATTGATTAAATTTCATTAAAGACCTAGGAAGTCTCATCCACCTGCACATTCTTGCGGGGAACTTACAACTCCTAATCTTCGATTCAGTCTGTCTCAATGAATTGCAGACTTAATTACCATATTTTTTTTAATTAGTAAAAAAACAACTACCCAGGACTAGTCATACATTTGGACACGCTGCTCGTAACCAAATTATGCAAGAACGACCTTACAGCGAATACGGGCGGATTGGCTGGCAGTACTTGAGTCTATGGCTCATTGGTAAGGCGTTCTGCTTCAGAAACGAAGAGCCCAGACTTCCCTGCCCCGGATAAGAGGCCAATGCGCGCGAAGTGACCATTTCGGTTACCCTTCTAGCTAAAAGTACTCTATTGTTTATACGAGAACTTTGTCGGTCTGACATCTAGGTCTTATACTGAAACTCATAACAGGAGCAGAATCAGAGAAGGAGCGGTAGGGGGGATCGGGCCGCAGTGAGGTTGACATGCGGTCGCGTGTTTGTTTATTAGCCGACCACATTCGGGTCACCGAGCTGTCATGGGGGGGGGGGAGGGTTACAACTTGGCAACCATCATTTCCGAATTATTGATGACCCCTCTTTCATCATCATCATCATCATCATCATCATCATCATCATCATCATCATCATCATCATCATCATCATCATCATCACCATCATCATCATCGTCATCATCATCATCATCATCATCATCATCATCGTCATCATCATCATCATCATCATCATCATCATCACCATCATCATCATCATCGACATTTGGTTTAAGGGTAGTCTGGAAGTTTTGTATCGTCCACTTCCACGTCCCCTTCCCCCTGAAGCCGCCAGTGTGAAGAGGTGGCATAACCCATTTTTGCCATTCCAGTCTGGCCAACAAGTAGTACATGCTGTTACGGCGCTCAAAAGATTACTCACAAATGAAGGCGAAATTTCGAGTTCCAGGTGTATGCATAAGTGAAGACGAAGAGTCGAGCACTGGAACACTTTGTTTATTGTCCTGAGCTTTCAGACTCGTACAGGAGTCCATCGTCAGAGGTAGCAGCAGCAGGAGAACAAGCGATACTTATAAGGCATGTAGGCCAATCATCAATCGACGGCGCAAGACTGGAGGTGACTACGCAGGGCTTTGTACGCCGGCGCCAGATGGATAAATCAATCGACCGAGTTGTCATCCGAGGCTCCGGCTTCAATCGATTCTCGGCCTGTTTTGTTTCCGGCGTGGGCGACTATTTTGGTGCCTGCGAAGTCAAACTCGTGACCCATTTCGTAGGTGTGCGCGGCCTCGTCGCACAGCCAGCTTGTCTTCGTGTATGCGCGATCCAAGCATGCGCCCAGTCTGTTCAGTGTAGTTACAAAGACAATTTTAACACAGAATGCGATACACTACTCCAGATTGCTCTTCAGGCTTTAGCCGGTCTTTGATCTTCATGACGCTATTGCGCATGTGTGGCTTTGGGGCGGTGTGCAATTCCAACACCTAGCTCTGCAGCAATGCGGTCGGTCGCTTCTGAAACTTCCTTGATGTATGGCAGAGAACGCCATATCGTCGGTGGTGTTGAAGGACGATGGACTCCTGCACGAGTCTGAAAGCTCAGGACAATAAACAAAGTGTTCCGGTGCTTGATTCTTCTTCTTCACTTAAAGATTACTCAATCTGCTGGGCCAGTTTGGCGTTCTGCTCTCCTCCAACCCCCCCCCCCCCTCATACCTTGCCGACCTTTTATGCTTTCAAAAAACTATAACTTCTGTGTGTGGTTCGCCACATCGGACTTGCGATCTTCAGCCGTTCGGAGCACGTCTCGTGCGACCCTTCCGATCGAGGGCCTCATTGCCATGCACATTGTCTTTGTTTGTCTCCTTTTTTCGTGTGCATGAAGTGTTGGCGTCTGCGACTTAGCCGTTTTTGTTATTGTTGTCGAAGGTGTGAGAGCGCAGGCCCCTTAAAGTGCGTCTCTTCTACTCACATTGCACAAAGGCACATAGCGGTCTTTCGGATCCTTACTGGTGAGTCAGGTGGCTCTTCACGTCGGCCTTCTCAGAAAGGACAGTTGCAATTTCAAGATCACATTTTCAGGAGTCACGCGTTTGTCATGGCAAGCGCCGATAGATCCTAATTGCATCAAGCGAGTGGATGGCCCTGTCTTGCCTCGGCGTCCCGAGTCTAGGGACCTCGTTGGCGGTCGCACAGTGATTGCTGATCTGTTATGTCGTGGCTTGAGAGATTGCCAGGTCACGGGATAACGCGACCTTCGCGGTGAGCCCAGACGACAACACTAGCTCAGTCGACCGACTCCTCCTAGGGTTGTGCTAAAGTCATGAATGGTGGGTATATGAGAACGACTGGGTTAGCTGAAAATTAGGTTGCAATGGCTTCTCGGTAGTGACATTTATGGAATTCTCATGCATGTGGGGTCCATCCCACCCTTACAAAGGTCAATTACATGGGAGATGGGGACCTGGCCACTTGTGAATGTGTGTGTGTGTCTCCGCGGTGTCAGCGGACATTTCGGGCGCCATTTGGACTTGTTGATCCCTTCGACCAACTGCAACACTCGGACTGCCCTAACCGTCGTCTTCCCGTCCACTTCTCCCTCGCCTCCTACGTCGTTAACTAACTCTGACCGCCCTCCCGAACCACCACGTCCATCCGCATCCTCCTCCTCCTCCTCCCTGCTGCTCCAACGTCTGCCTCTGTGGCATCTGCCACGCACACCAACATTGCACAAAATCCTGGCACCCCAACAAACGCCAACGCGACCACCGCCGAAATCAGTGGTGAGGACCTGGTCTACACATGTCCTCATTGCGACCTTACACATCGGCCTGGTCACTCACTTGCGAATCCATCGCACAGGCATTGGCGAACCAGTACCTGGAGCGCCAACCTACGCGCGCTGCATTCGCCTCCACTGTCCACACTGCCATCGCACATTCAGCCAGCGCATGGGCCTATTCGGCCGCATGCGTATCCACGAGAACGGAAGTGGACGTAGACCTGACACACCCACCAGATCCAGCACACCTGCCCTTCTCAGCTTCTCCCTCACTCCGTCGACCCGTGCGCCCGCCACCACCACCACCACCTCCGTAACTGACACCGACGCCACCGACCTCTCATGCCCACACTGTCCACACACATCCACCTCACGTATCGGCCTGATCGGTCACTTAGGAATCCATCGCACAGAGACTAGCGAGCCAGTGCCTGAAGCACCCACATACACCCGCCGCATCCTCCTCCACTTTCCCCAGTGCCCTTGCACACGAACGCACCTATTCGGTCACATGCGCATCCATTAAAACCTGCGGTAGACGACCGCCGGCTGCACCACATCACCACATCCTCCCTCACCACCATCTCACCGCTCATCCAAAATCACCCACCGCAAGTACTTAACTGCCACCTCCCACGCAAGTGGGAAGTGTGCGTCTCGACTCGGTCTCCGTGCTGCTCCTGTTGCATGGGTGACTCGAGCCTGAGGCTTCCCCGACGCGTCAAGTGCCGTGGATTGGAAGGTTGCCGACTGATGCCCCAACCCGGTCCACGCAGTCCGTCCAGTTGTGTGTGTGCTTGTGTGGAGAGCCGGACTGGTGGGCTGGGGACCGGGCCGATACAGCTCCTTCCACGGCACTCTCGCGCATGTGAGAGATACGTCGTTCAACCCCCGTTGTGTGGAATCCTGCAGTGTGTGTTTGGGGGGTCAGGTCATGCATGTGGCGAGCGCAGGCATGGTCAGTCGACCGTGCCAGCCATCGTGCCCATCCCCCGTTACAGTCCGTTGACCGGCTCGGACAGTGGCTGGGGTGTGGGAATGGGAAGGGAGAGTGAGTTCGACGACTCAGCGCATTTTCCTCACTATAAACAATCTGACGCGCTTGAAGCTATCACAGTATGCTAAAAGCTGTGGCTTGGAAGGTTCAGTCCAGTCCAGTTCAGTTTATTGAGGGAAATAGGCGTAAGCCTTTGAGTACCCTATTTGCAACGCAAAAGATGTGTGGTGTACAGATAGATGTTCTGGGCTGAAATAGTTCGAACACGCCCATAATGGTGAGACAAAATGAGAACGAGTTACAGGGGGTGAGCTCGACTTCTCGTCGCTCTTGTTCATTTCGGAACATAAATATGTCCAGATTCTTTTTAAAAGTTTGTATGGATGGTGACATCACAACATATGCGGGAAGCTCATTCCATGGTTTGACCACCCGAACCGAGAAGGAGAACTTCCGCACATCCAGCCGGGCCTGCTGAGTGCGCAGTTTTAACGGGTGACCTCGGAGGTTGGTCGTGGTAGCAAATTCAAAAAAATCCTCGAAGGCCAGACTGCAATCCAACCCCTTTACAATGCGGAAGGCTTGCAAGAGATCACCGCGAAGTTGCCTGTAACTCAAAGGAAAGAGGTTCAGATTTACTAGGCGGGTTGCATAAGGAAAGGAGCTTTGACCCCTAACCATCTTCGTGGCTCTCCTCTGGACTCTTTCAAGGCAGTTTTGATCCACAACAGCCCACGGCCTCCAAGCTTGTATGCCGTACTCTAAATGCGGCCGGACGAATGTTCCGAATGTCTTAGAGAAAGCTTCTTCGTCAAAGTCAATAAACTCACGCTTGATGGCGTGCAGTACGGACATTGCGCTTTTTGCCACCCTCGAACAGTGGGCGGATGGTTTTAGGGAACTCGTCGTAAGCACACCGAGGTCCTTTTGGGCTTCGACCTCTTGTAGGGCTGCACCGCCAAGAAAGTAGCCTCTTGTGCTGGCGGATCTGGCTGTGTTGCCTAGGCGAAGTATGCCACATTTGGCAACGTTGAACCACAGGAGCCAACGGTTTGACCACTCCTCCAACCGATTCAGGTTCATCTGCAGTCTGCCTTCATCGGCAGGACCCCGAATTACACTCCATATCTTCATGTCATCCGCAAACATTGCTACTTCACAGTCTAAATCTCTTGCGGCATCGTCCACGTAGATAAGGAACAAAATGGGTCCCAACTGACGGGCTAACTTTGACCTTGCAGTTGGCCTAGTGTTGTGTGTGTTTGTGTGGAGTGACCGGCTGGTGGTCTGAGAGTCAGACTGCAATGCCTCCTTCTTAATGTGACCCTAATGGCACTCCCACTCTGTGGAATCCGAGCCGGGTGTGGGCGGCACGCCTAGGTGCGGCTTCGGTCGTGCCAGCCACCAATCTCTGTCGTTGTTGGTGAAAAATCTGGTCATTTGCTGTGTAGGCCAGACAGTGTGGAGTGGAACGCCAAGATGCGGGCCCAACCGCGCCATCCACCTGCGCCCTTTCCCGCCTCCGGTCTTCTTGACTTTTTCGTGGGGCACACGGTGGACATCTTCAAAATCGACGGTAAAACTCTCTCGTGCGTGTGTCTGTGCCCCTAAAACTGGCTACGCGCTGGATGCGCTGGAACAACATCGGTGTCTAGGCCAGAGTCTGGCAAGCGTTATCGGAAATTCGCACTCTGTTGCAGGCCCGTGCTGCGCCCATTGGGATTTGGGGGCCGCCTCCCTTCGTGCTGGTGGTGTAGAATCTTATTCAGTGTACGTTGTGGACCAGGGGGTGTGGTGGTACGACTAGATGTGGGTTTTTGTCGTGCCAGCCACCTCCGTCCTCTCCCATCTCTGATCTTCTTAACTGCAAGGTTCTATTCTATCCCCTCACCTTTTCTCCCTCCATACTGACGATCTAAGGTCCCCTAATGACTGTATTCTGGTCAAGTATGCTGACGATGTGGTTGTTGAACACCCTCTCAAAAGTCAGACACGCCTCCGGTCTCTAAAGAATGGCCTAAACCATGTCCTGGCGTGGTCGGAGGAAAATGGTCTCCTAATTAACAACCAAAAATCCGTTCAGTGCATTTTTCGACTGCGGCCCTCTCCTAACCCTGATTCCTCTGACATTCTTCCTAACGAAGTATCCTCTTTCAGGTACCTCGGCGTTACTTTGTCCTCAAATCTTTCAGTTTCCCTCCATATTGAGTCCCTATTTATTAAAGTTCGTAAACGTCTTTACTACATACGTCGTGTACGTTTCTACCACACACCTCAACCCTTAGTCTGGCGACTCATGGATACCTGCATTCTTCTTCTTATCCTATGCTGTTCTCCTGTCATTTTTCCTGCTTTGCTAAAAAGGATCTTTTAATTTTGAAACGAATCCTCCGCATACTCTCTTCTGCTGCTGGTGTTTCTTAGCTTTTTTAGTTGACACTATCTTGCAACGACACTTCAATGCGGTCAAGCAATTTGCTGATCGGATTCCAGATGACGTTGCCCATCCCTTACATTCTGATCTTATGTCTGCGAAGTCTTCCCGCCCGATGCTCCGCAGCTTCCGACTTATATCCTGTCGCACATCGGCTTATCGAGCTTCTGTATTGCCATTCCGAGCGCGCTATCTTGCGTGCGAAGAGACATAAATACAGAAGCTAAGACTTGAACTATCCCCATAATAATCGTTTCTTTGTGTTAAACTTTGACTCTTGAATAATCTATTAACTTATTTACTGTCCATAGTGAATGGAGCCAACTTTTTGCTGAAAATTTTGAACATACGATTTCAAAATAAAGCG